CCCCCCCCCCAGCTTTTTTAGTCCCCAACTCAGCAATTTTTCCGCCAAAATTTTCAAGCGCTCGCACACGGAGCCTAGATGTGCATGAATTGAAATACCGAGACAGACGAACACACACACACACACACATAGAAGCATGTACACACACATACACAAACAGAGTCGTTGCAATATGCGTTTTTGCATTTTGATTATATGCATTATAAGCTGCTAGCTTTGAGCATCAGCAGCGTTACTGCCCAATGTTTTAATTCAAAAGCAGCTGTTAATTGCTAACTGATAGCTTATACCAAATTCCACTAAAATTAGTTCTACTCATGCGAGAAATTCCTGTCATCATATTCAAAAATGATAACACTGTCAAATGATGATCTTTAAACAAAACTCTGCTTATAAACCTGCTACTAAAATTAGTTTCTGTCTGTGCTGCAAAATCAGGTTGGATTTCCGTTCCTTCTCGGTGATTAGATGGCTCAGTCTCTAGAAAAGAGAGTATGGTCCTCAAACCTTCCACTTTTTAGTTTTCTGCAGTGCTCTTTTTGAATTTCCTGGGATGAGACTAACAAGGACTTGGACTAGACATAATGCCTCTTCAGAAGTATCCGAAAATCAAAATGCGCTTTTGCATCTCACCAGTGATTAGTAGAAAATCTATAAAACTTACATCCGTGATATTTCACTTGATCGCGTTTGTAGAAATCATGATTCTTGACTGGACCTTGTTCGAGTGCCGATTTAACAGCATGAGAATGATGGCCAGTTGTTTGCCCTTTCGCGTAGATCACAAAAATTTTGCCTGGTCCCAGTGGATGATCAGATGGTTCTATTTCTGGAAAAGATAGTGAAGATCTTCCCCACCAGTAAAACATTCCAATTTTATCCTTCGTGTTAAAATACAGCTTTAACCGAAACATTTCTTACCATTATAATATTTTACAGAACTTTTCAAGTTTTATTAATTTCTTAACAGTATGAGCCTTTTCTTCTTCCAACATCAAAATATTTTTATTATTTTGTCTAAAACTTTATCAAATGAAATTTGACAAAAAAAAGCTGCATTTTAAAGCTCCCATCACTAGTTGATTTGCCATCACTAATCTTCCTTGTTACAAAGAGCTACAGATTAACGGCTGCATAAACTTAAGGTGGTCGAAATTCAAGGCTTTTTCATGTCTTACCTTCTTTGGAGCGGAAACGCCTCGGATTCAACTTGATTATGAGCAAACTTATTACCATTAGCAGTTGCTGATAAGAATATCGATAGCTCAATGGCTTTTGCCAAAATCAATCGCGCTGATATCCCAGTGTTCGTATTTTCAGGTACGAAGGCGAAGAATTCCAGAAATGAGGTGAAGACTGGTTACATTCATGTTTTGACTGATTACCACTTACCCGTGGATGGGTTAGGAGTTTGATCAGTAGCACTGCGATGAGACGATAAGTGATCAAAATGCCAAAGTATAAGAATTTTGTTAAAATTGTTATCTTTCGAAGACGCCCTGTATCGTGTAAATCTCTTATCTTTCATTTCGACTCCATCGCAGGAACGACTATCCCCTACGATTCGTTTATTAGTTTGTATAGTACACTGGTACTAGCGCATGCCGTGGAGTCAAAGCCGTCATCAGTTTGCTTGTAAGCAACCCTCAGAAGACGGACCCATCGATAGTTTCGCCATGTTATGACAGCAGCTGATATTGCTACCATTCGGTTATCTCCGGCTCTCGCGTTAACTAATTAAGAAATAATACCAGCAATCCGCCTTCTGAACATAATTATCGTTCGTCCGTCACGCTCAATCCCGTACGCCGCCGAAAACGATTCCTCGCCATCTAGCCTGAAAAAACTACAGTTTGGAAAAAAGCTAAGTTAAAAATATTTTGGGGTAATAAGGTAAATAAAATAAAAATATTTTTATGTTAAAAGAACTAATAAAATGTTAAAAAATTTTTTTTAAAGATAAGAAATGTTACCGAGAGAAGAACGCAGTGAGTCCCCATCGCTCAGTGTTTTTATGCGTTTTTGCTGTGCAGCGCTATAGCGCTGCTACAGTCAGCAAAAACG